TTGTTTGTGATTTTTAAAAAATTTTATCTAAGCCCTATGATGGCTCCTAAACGAGCTGCTTCTTCTAAGCCTTCTGACAATAAAAATAAACGCCAGAGGAAGATGCTCACCATCCAGGAAAAGGTAAAACTTTTGGATATAAGGAATCCTACTTCGCGGAATTTCATTTATCACGGTAGGGTCTAGAACTGGTTAACCGCGATAAACGAGGGTTCACTGTAATACTTTTAGAGAGTTGAAAATATTGCCAGAAGGCAATTTTAAAACATTTCCATCATTCCAAAAAGGTACCTTGCGCCCATTTACAATTAATCCCCACTCCCCGGCCCCACCCTCCACCGTAGAACAACGTGAATCTACTTTCTAGCTCTATGGCTTTACCTTTGCTGGACATCTGGCTTCTGCCTCTGGCTCCTTTCACTTTGCATCGTGCTAACTGGGTCCTTCGGTGCTGGTGAGTGTTCGGGGTCTGTTCCTCTTCGTGGCTGACTTGTGATGTACTCCATCAGATGAACAAGCTGCACGTTCCTCACCCATCCACGAGTTGACAGGCGTTTAGATGGTTTCCGATTGGGGATTATGGATCATGCTGCTATTGACATTCACATATATGGCTTTGTGTAGATAGGATTGTATCTCTCGAGCAGATTCCTTGTAGTGAGATTCGTGTTTAGTAAGTGTACGTTTTACTCTTTAAAGAAACTGCCCAGCTGTGTTCCAAAGTGAGTGTGCAATCGAGCATTGCTGTCAGCAGTGGGTGGAGGTGTCTGTTTGTTCCTGTCCTGGCCGGCACTTGGTATTGTCCACCTTTTTCACGGGAGCCATTCTTTTAGGACAGATAGTGGACTCCCATTGTGGTTGTAATCTGCATTTCCTAATGAGCCGGTGGGCTTCTGGTCATGCATTTATTTGCCAGTCATACATCTTCTTTGGTAAAAACATCTCATCCAAACATTGGGCCTGCTTTTAAAGTTGGTGGTTTGTCAGAGTGAGTGGTAACATTTATCTTTTTTTTTTTTTTTAATATGATAGGATGTTACTCTTGCCAATCCAATTTTAAAAGTAAGCAGCTGCGTGTGGTCACGCTTTGAAGGTTTGAAGGTTTTCCCACCTATGCCGTGTCCTGAGGCAGTGTCCTCGGGCAGCCACCCCTCATCTTCAGAAGACGGTGCTGCTTCCCAGAGACTTCCAGTGCGCCGTTCTTGTCACCCTACTGCGAGTTGAATGTCAAGCCTGCCTCTGGACTCTGACCCTACTTGAGACCGGAGAGCCGGGACCCTTGGTAGCGGCTTTCCTCTCTCCCCAGGGCCCAGGGTAGGACGGGGGTGTTCTAAGGCTGGTCTGGAAGCAGAAGGGATGTGGCTCTTGGGCCTAGGCCTTGGCCCCCTGCTTGGTAGAAGGGTGTGCTTATTCGCTGGACTGGAAGCCAGGTGCCCAGAGATGATCGTCAGAAGTTCCTGTTGGCTTTGGCTTCGGCTTTACAGCCTTGGGGTATGCTGGCTTTCCCAGGTGGCTCCCCTGGCAGCAGGGTACCGCGTCTTTTCTCACTTCATAAAGATCCCCAGCTAGGGCCTCCCTTACGGCAGCGCAACTGCACCTCCTCACCCTTGGTGACCCGACCCTGCGGGGAGACGCACTGCTAGCCCCTGGCTTCCTGCTCTGAGGGTTCTGGCCTGGCACTCCGGGCTCTTAGTGGAGGGCCATGATCTGCAGCTGTGAACACCTTCCCCAGGACACCCTCCTGCTCTCGCTGCGCGAGCTCAGACCATCTCAACTCTCCTGTGGGTGACAGGTGAAAGCTTTCCAGAAAGATAAGGTGCTGGGGGGGGGGGGGGGGGGTGGTGGTGGAAGGGAGCACTTGAATGTACACGAAACATACTAAAATACTGCTCGAGCCATATCGTACTTGGGCTCTCCCCTTCGTCCCTCTGGGACGTGCTTTCTTGTTTTCCCGTTGTTAGCACAGAAGACTCCTAAACTGAAGCCACCCTGGGCGGAGGGTCTGGGCAGACTGTGCTGAGCTATTTAGACTGTGAACGCCGGCGCATCTGGCAGCAGCCACCCAATGTGCATCACAGCTGCCAAAGGACTCCACTCAGTGGTTCGCTGAATTCAATGGAAAGAGGTGTTCATAGAGCCAGGGGAAGTGATGCTATTAAAAAAAGATGACATTGTGTAGCTCTGTTCCGTGTTTAGTGTTTATCCTCCCTCAGTGACTTCCAGATCAAACTTACACCATGTGGCATCCAACACGGTGCCTCTTTTGGACTCTGGTTAGAGGCAAGGAAGTGGCCCCGCATAGCCGCTCCCCTATCCTGCAGTATGTCATCTTTAGCGTGCAGGATCTGTCTGCCGGTCGCACAGTCAAGATCACATTGTTCCTTTAGGGAACTGGATCTTGCTGTCAGCACAGGAGACTAATAACAAGGTCAAGTGTCACACGCTTGTCAGACTGCTGGCTTCAAACACCAGCAAGGATTGAGGGTCGCCACAGCCCGAATCTTAAAATCCCCAGGGTGAGAGGTTGGTGCTTGAACGGAGTCTGGACTCTATGTTCTTTCTCCCTCCCAACAAGAAGTAGGCCAAAGATCTTGAGCACTCCGAAGGACAGAGGGTGGCAGAGGGGGTTACAAGTTGGGCTGCTAACCACAAGGTCAGCAGTTTGAAACCACATGAGCAAGACGAGGCTCTCCACTCTCATTAAGAGTTACCATCTTGGCAACCCAAAGGGGCAGTTCTACCCTGTCCTGGCAGATCACTGAATAGGAATTGGCTCTGTGGCGATGCATTTTTTGAGTGCGCACCCACCGACATGCCAGAGACGATCTGAAACCAGGGGTTCTCCATCAGGAAGGGGGGCTTGTAGAATGTCATGTGCTGTTCCTGAGACCTCCGGCAGTCCGAGGAAGAGGGTGGTGTAATCGTAAGGCGTCTGAGACCACCATCTTTCCCCTCCTTCTTTAACCCAAGGGAAGCCAGAGAGACATTGCTGTTTAATGGGGTGAAGAGCCCTGCTTCCAACCTTCCCCAAGTGAAAGCACGTCTTGCTACAGACAGAGCACAGGTGCACGAAGGGGTACAGTCCATGACTAGCTAGACAAGCTGTCTGCGCTACTAACATTTTATTCAGGGAATGACTAGGGGGAAAAGGTATCTGCAAAGGCTTTTTGAAGGGGTAGTTGGGGAAATGCTTGAGGATCCCCGATCTGAGCTAAGGTTTGGGGAGCCTTGATCAATACAACCCACGGGTCCTGCCAGATAAACAAAGTCTGCACTAACTCCTGACCAGCAAAAGTTCTTGCTCTGCAGAGAGAGCTGCGGACCCCACTAGAGGATGCCCATCAGGGCTCAGTTGTTGGGAACTCAATGGTCCTAGCATCTACCTGAGAGGCCTGCAAGCCAATCCACGATGATTTCTGCAGATTCCCACATCCTCTCCGATTGTGTGTGTTGCACCTCTTCCTGGGAGTTCAGGTGCTTGCTATTTCACAGTTTAAAATAGTCTAAGGATGTCCTAATCCTCTTGGTTTCAGGTGTGCTGGCGAATATAATTTCTCATTTAAGGATCGGCACAAAGTTGGCTTTATGAGATCTGAAGAGGTTCAAGAGGTCCCAAGTGTCCAACTTTTCCAAACTGCCTTCCCTTTCCTTGTCTCTCACCTCAGCCACACCCTCCTTTCCAGGCCTCTTGCTCCTGAGCGGGAGCTTGGTGATTTGCTGTGACATCTCACAGAACTCAGGCAGCAGGCTTACAGTCAAGTGGTCTGCTAGAGAAGAGACAGGGTGCAACTTGGGATCAGGATCAACTTGGAAGTGTCAGGGACAACTCAGGATGCAGTTTTGACCCTCTGCTGGAGAGTCCTGCTCCAGGCCCAGGTCTTGCTGGGATCTTCTTCAGCAAATGTTACAGCTCTTAGCTTCCTGATCCTACTGCAGCTATGTTATAGCTTCTCTCCCCATGTCTCCATGGAAGGCTATCAAACTAACAAAACCGACCAATCCCCTTGGTAGGGTTCCACACACCTTATTTGCATCGTCTCACACATCATTGAATAAGGAAGGCCGAAGAGGCATCAGTGCATTGGGATTTTGGTGCTGGCGAAGAATATTGAAAACCCCACATCCCGTCAAAAGACTAAACAAATCTGTCTCGGAAGAAGTACAGCCAGAATATTCCTTAGAAGCCAGGATGGGAGGCTTCATCTCACATACTTGGGGCATATTATTAGGAGAGGCTAGTCCCTGAAAAATGACACCGTATTTGGTAAATAGAGGGGCAGCGCAAAAGAGGAGGTCCCCTGACAGGCTGGGCTGACACGGCGGCAGCAACATTGGGCTCAAACCTAAGAACCACTGTGAGGTTGGACAGGATCCAGCGGTGGTGCGTCCGCAGTGCCTCGGTTGCTAGGAGCCAGAATGGACTCGATGACCCTAACAAGGACAAGTCAATGACTGTGTGGCAGTCACAAAGCCTAAAGCCAGAAAGGCAACGGAAGTGTCATTCTCTGCACCACAGTCGGAGAGAAAAGACCCCTTCTCCTCGCCATCTCACAGTGGAGATGGAGCTGTAAGGAGGAGTTTTCAAGGGAATGTTGCCAAGCTCGCACGTTCCCCTCAAGCTTTTTGATCGCTGGGAAAGATGCTGAGTTGGTACCTTACGCAGGAGGACAGGAAGGAGCTCGGGATACCAGAATTAGATGCCACCAGATCTGCTGCCTGTGACCTGTTATGCCTGGTCAGACACAGGGTTGTGTAGGAGGACACCTAGCCCAGCTCTCTGGGGAGGACAGAGATAGAGCCACCTGTCATGCTTCGATGGGACAGCGAGAGCCCCATCCCTGGACTGGCAAGCTCACACCGACGTGGGTTTCCCTGTTGCTGGGTCTTCTTTTCTTCATCCTCTTTTCTTCTTGGTCTCCTTGAGGCTTGGCCGGGCCCTGGGCAACCCCAACCATTCAACAGTGCTGGAGAGTAGATAGTATTTACCTCAATAATGGTAGTCTCTTTTCAATTCTTTCTCACCCTGAATTCAGATGACGGAGCTAAGCCGACACCCACAATGGAGGCGCAGCCGGTCTTCGAAGGAGATGGTGAGCTCCTGTGTTGCTTCTCACCCACTCTTGGATGTGGGAAAGGTCTTTCCTTGGGATGTTTGCTTAAGCTTCTTTCTTAATTTCCACCTTTCCCAGTTTAAGCTGAGTATTATATATATATAAATTATATAAAAAAAAATATATAATTATATATATATATAGGATTTATTTTATATATATATATATATATAATAAATCCTATAAGGAACTGGTGTGTCCTACACTCTGGAAAGGTCCTCTGTTCTTTGCAGGCTGATATCCAACAATAACATAGCCTGGACAGACCTACTGAGTGGCCGAGACCAAGGAGTCAGGACCGAGAGTGGAAATTAGGCCAGCAGTGCCCCACAGTCAATAAGCCAGCACATATAAATATGCCTCCTATTGGCCTGAGGGATGGCAGAGAAATAGAAGAAATGTGTGCCTTTGCTCTCAAGACATATGCAACTATTAGAGAACTTTATGGGGAAAATGGATGGCATAATGGTTATATATTGGACTGTTTACTGCAGGGTCAGCAGTTCGAAACCACCAGCAGCTCCATGATAGAAAAATGAGGCCTTCTACTCCCGTAAAGATTTACAGTCTCAGAAACCCACAGGGGCAGTACTGCCCTGCCCTATAGGGTTACTTTAAGCCACAATCCACTCTATGGCAGTAAGGGCTTTTTTTGGTTTTGTTTTGCTTTTTAAATAGGTTAAATGGTATGATCCCCATTTTAGTGTAGTGGACATTGGTGGAAGAAAGATGTCAGAATGACCTGGGGAGAGTGTGTGAAGAGATGGCACTGCCACTAGCCTGTGAAAGTACAGGGCAGGAATTGGAGGCTTCTAGACAAGGAGCCCTGGTGGTGTAGAGGATGATACGTTGGGCTGCTCACTACAAGGTCAGCAGTTTGAAACCACCAGCTGTGCCAGAGGAGAAAGATGAGGCTTTCTACTTCCATCAAGAGTTAGCCTCAGAAACTCACAGGGACAGTTCTATCCCAGCCTATAGGGTCGCTACGAGTCGGCATTGACTGGGTGGCAGTGAGTTTGGTTGGTTGGTTGGCTGGTTTAGGCAGAGCAACCAGCAAGGCTAATTAAAGGAAGGTGGAGGGTGTGCGGTACTGTTCAAAAGGTTTTGCGGAAAGTGAGCAGGTTTGGCTAGTCAACTGGTTTGGCTCGCTTATAGGGCTAGAGAAACTAGGAGGTCAAGCGAAGTAAAGTTGTCTGGTGTCAAAACAGTCGGAATGCCCTTCTCTGGGGAGGATGGGGAATTGACGACAGGAGAAACAGCAAGGGCGGAAGCTGCTCTGGATTCGGGGGCTGAGTTGCACCGTTTCCAGAAAGCCTGAGAATGAAGCTCGGGTCTCGGGGCAACCAAACATGAGCAACTCTCAGCGGAGTAGGCCCAGGTCTGGGTCGTGGTCTGCGCAGTGAGACAGAGGAAGCCAGAGGGATTGTCCTGAGCACAGAGCCAGCTCTGGAAGAGAGACTGAAATGGGGCTTGTTTGCTGAAGCCTAAGTGTTCATGCTTCTATGGTTCTCAAAGGGTCTGGGTCTTTGGCAAGTCTGGGACCAGAGGGGTCACATGGGAGCCAGGTGAGGACCTTCCTCCCACTTGTGCTGAAGAGTGGGGCACTCTATCTGTCCATTGGGTGAGCTCATGCCCTCCAGAGACCTGGAGGCTCCCTGGGTGCCAGAATTCCATCTTTGCTCAACCAGGAGTCATTAGAAAGGGAATTGACCAACAGATCGGTCCCTGGAGGAGCAGAGCCTGAGCAAGCTGAAATCTGCTGTGGCTCAGCCGCTTCCTCTAAAATGGTCTCTGTGGTTTGTCTGGCGCTCCTGTGTTGACTTATCCCCTTTAAATCTTCTCCCAGGGAAGCAGCTGAGAGGGACTTGGCTTGGCTCATGTCCTCTACCTCCTGGGATAATATTTTTATTCCTGGATGGAGTGGCTCAGTGCCTCTAGACCCTGACCACTCGGGCTCTGGCCCAGGAGGCCCTCCTTGGCTCTTAGGGGCTGATGGAGAGAGGAGTTTCCAATGTAAGGAAAGAGCATGTTGGGACGAGGTGGGTGTGGGTTGAGGGAGGAAGCAGAAGTCCAAGGGTTTATATGCCTCTGGCTTTTAGAACAGCTATTAAAAATCCAGGGGGTGGGGGTAGGGGTACAGGGGGCGAAGGTAGAGTAACTTCAAGTCTCTTTGCCCAGACTTGATTTTCTCTTTATTTTTTTCTCCAGAAATCACAGCTCCAACTCTCTGGATTCAGCACTTGGTAATCAAAGAGTCCAAGATGAACAACACCAATATAAGAAACTCAGGTGACTATTCTTCCTCGGAGGGTTTGTGAAGGAGATCTGGTGGCACTGTGGGTTAAGCATCAGGCTGCTCCCTGCAGATCGGCTGCTCAGCGGGAGAAAGATGAGACTGTCGGTCCTCATACTGATTCAGTCTCAGAAAATCGATCTAGAGTCACGAAGGGTCAGAATTGATTCAATGGCAGTGGGGTTTGGAGGGTACATGTGCCTGAGCCATCTGGGTTTTACCCTGCCATGGTTCTAGGACCACACACTGTGTGGGTTGGGGCCAGCCACTTACCCTGTCTGATTCTCAATGTCTACAGATGCAAAAGGAGAAGATTGCGTGAGTTAGTCTCTTCAGGCTTTAGGCTCCTTCGGTTATTATCTCAGGGAGGATGTCTCGCAAGGGGTTGCTCCCTTAAGTTCACGAATAGTTTTGACTGTAAGTTGTAAGATATTTATTTGCTTTATGCCGTGTTCAAGAATGTCAAAGAAGAGTTAATGGCATCGAGAAACTGGACTTCCAACTTGAAGAGGTTTTGTTCTGTATGTTTTCAAGACGCTCCCTAACTCAGCGGTTCTCAACCTCTGGGTCACTACCCCTTTGGGGGTCAAACGACCCATTCACAAGGGTCACCCGATTCATAACAGTAGCAAAATTATCGTTATGAAGCAGCAACGAAAATAATGTTATGGTAGGGGGGTCACCACCACATGAGGAACTGTATTAAAGGGTCGCGGCACTAAGAAGGTTGAGAACCACTGCCCTAACTGCTTAGTCATGCTTTATTTCTTGTCTGATTTTGGGACGGGGGTGGGTGGGTGGAGGGCGGGGTGGAAGCAGGGCTGTAACCGTGAAGTTGGAGGCTCAGGTCCACTCAGAGGCACCGCAGAAAGAAGATTGGGCTATCTGTTTCTAAAAGGGCAGCCATCAGAGGCCCAGGGAGCACAGTTCTGATCTCACGTGGGGGGGCTCCTCCCCACCCCCATCAGAATTGGCTCAATAGCACCTTTTTGGTTGGCAGTGCTGAGGTTTTGGCACTCGCTGAACCTCTTGCAAAAAAGTGTAGGATGTTTTTTGAAGGGTGATCAGACCCATAGGATTTCGATACAAACCAAAGCCAGTGGCCATCAACAGGGAGATGTATGAACGAGCCCAATCCTTCTCTCAGCCTGGGAAGACAGTGGGGACTCTTACTCTGTCTGATGTATGCCTAGTTGTTGGCAGTGTTAGCTGGACCTCTTCCTTGTGGGCAGGAATGGTTTTAACAAAAAATACAACAGTTCTTCCCAGTTCACCAATGGCATTTACCTGATCATTACCGAATGGCTAGGCTGCAATTGGCCCCCTTTACACTTTCCTATCGGCCAGTCCTGTCCTAAGGATGCAGTGGGGGTGGGGGGCAAGGGGGTGGGGGCTGGTAGACTAGAGTACACAGAGGCATTGAGACGAAGGGGTGGCTCCATTCAGCATCTGTGGCTGTTCTCTGTGGCTGGCGCTGGTCAGTGCCTCCACATGTGTTTTGGGTCCCTGTTTGATAAAAATGGAAGGTATGGGATGATGAGGTAGGAGAGTGGCCATATGGAGTCCCCTGAGCCGGAGCCTGTCATCGCGCAGCACAGTGGGAAAAGCACAGAACCCTGGACTCCCGCGCCAGCTCCCACATCTGGTGGACGACGCTAACCAAGTCCAACAGTGTCCCCAGTCTTAGCGCTCATCTGCAAGACGGGATCATGAGCGCTCAGAGGATTGCCGTGAAAGGTTAACTGAGTTACCATCTGCATGGCGCTTAGTGGATGCCTAGCTAGCTGATATGGAGCAAATGCTTAGTAAATTATATAGCTGTGTATTGGTTATTATTGGTGGTGGTTGCAATAGGACTATGGATTAGGCTGCTTACAGTGAGAGGGCTTCGTTTAGGAAGGTTGTATGACTGGCACCATAAGCAGATGCATGAAACGGATAAGATTCCTCTTAGGACCTTCTCCCTGCTCCCCTCACTGGTAGACAAACATGATAGTTAAAGGGACCTTGTTTGGGCACCTGTAGCACAGGCGTGAGAAGTGACACCAGGAGGCGTCACTCTGGTTCCTGGCCGGTCTGCAGGGCCCCAGTGAAAGGGTCGACTCATTCTGTGGTAGGCATGAAGGCCACCTTTCTCTGACAGTTTGCAGTACTTTTGCCTCTATTGGCAGTTGGCAGTTGCGTCCTTGGATTTCTTTTTCATCTACCGGAGCTTGCTTTCTCCATCTAGAGAGCAGTGGTTCTCAAACTTCCTCATGCCCTTTCAGACAGTTCCTCATGTGGTGGTGACCCCCCCAACCATAACATCATTTTCATTGCTACTTCATCACTGTTATTTTGCTAGTGTGATGAATTGGGTGACCCCTGTGAAAGGGTCGTTGGACCCCCAAAAGGGTCGTGACCCACAGGTTGAGAACCGCTGATCTAGCTATAAACTCTGAGGGCCAGGGCTGTCTTGCTGGCCCTTGATGACAGAGGCATGATAGCTCAGTGTGGTCAAGTGCTTTTGGGGAAAGGGAGCCATGTCATCAGCAGCAGCAGAAGTCCAATCAGAATGATGACTGTCAAAACAGCTCCTCAGTGCCAGGTCCTGCAGCGCTGCACATGTGTGCATACCTTACCATGCCCTCGGAGCCAGGCCTATTCGTGCCCCCTGCTGACGGATGAGGAGAGCAAAGCTTCGAGAGAGGAGACAATGTGTCCTGTGTTGCACAGCTCGCCGGCGGTGGGGTTGGAGAAGGTGCTTTATGCTTGGCAATAGAAGGCCTGTCTTCTTGGGCTGTTTCTGCTTCGCGTAGCAGACGGCTGATGTCAGCTCATTGGATCTTCGTTTCCATGTGGGCACTTCCAGAACTCGGAAAAGGGCGAGTGCAGAGCCATGCTGAGAATTGGCTTCTTTCCTTTATTTGGAGTGACATAGATGTTTTTATCCTTCCCTAGCTGGCCTCAATCATGTCTTTAAAACTAATGTACATGATGGGGTAGTTAGAGGAGACATAGAGGATCCTTTAGAGAAGCTGATAGCAGCACGTTCTAATCAGCACCTTTCAAATTTCCTCATGAGCCGAGACTTTCTCTGTCAGTAACTGGCATGTGCCTCTTCTTGGTGACCTGTCACAAAATTATATAATAAATGTATTGGCAAATTATGGTTCACCAGCCAAATCTGGCCAGCCACTTGCTTTTGCAAATAAAGCTTCTTGAAAAGGCCGCCGTGCCCATCCAGGTGCACAGCATGTATGGATGCTTTCCCACTGAAAGAGTAGAGGGGAATAGTTACGACAGAGACTATCTAGCCCATAAAGCTTAAAATATCTGGGGAAAATAAAACTGAGTCAGTCAACCACAGGCCCAAGAAACCCGAGCAAGACAATCCCTCTCTCTCTCTCTACACACACACACACACACACACACACACACACACACCCCACAGCAGTGTGATGTGTAACCTGCTGTGGGGGATAGAGGAGGACTAGGTGGAGTTTGACGCCATACCACATGGGGTCGCTGAGAGTTGGAGCCAACCCCACAGCAACTAACAACAACTCATAGACCCAGCGAAAGCAGGAGCTATGCCTCCCAAGATGCTTCCAGATGTGCCCCGGCCAGGAAGCCTGCCAGGTGCAGGGGCTCTTTGGGCAGCTCATCATTTCACAGGAACCCAGTGCTTTGCCAGGCTTGAGTGGCCTGTTCTGCTATAGCTACAGCCTAAGCTTTGGTGTCTGCAGGTAGGATGGTAAGGAGTTTTGTGGACACCGAGGAGATAAATCACATAACAGCAAAAGTGTGGGTCTGGGTGTCAGATAAACCTATAGCCCTAGCTTCCGATGCTAGCTTCCCACTAGGAGGCTGGGTGACCTTGAGGAAGGTTTTGACCTTTCCTTATTGTGATCGAAGTCTTGCATGGAAAATGTCAGGTGCTTAACAGGTCCTCCGTACATGATTGAAAACCAGTGGCTCCTGTTGGCAAGTATCTGCATGGATCGAGCTAGGCACTTTCATGCCCTCTCCTTTGCCCCGGGAAGAAAGAAGATAGGCTTTAGCAATAACTCAGGCCCAAGCCGCTGCCTCTGGTTCAGGATGGGGCAGGAGTGGTGTTCTCAGTGTCAAGTCCCTAGAAAAGTTTCTCATTCAAGTCTGATGAGGGACTCTGGCCTCAGGGGAGATTCTGGTCCACATCACTGGGCAGGTTGAAGTGGATCCTGGGAGAGAGTGCTTGTCCTCAGCTCTCTCTGAAGGGAGCCTAAAGGCCACCCCAGTTTCTTTTACACCCCAAACATCTTTCTTTCACCCTCAGACCCTGTGACGCCAGGTTTGTTTTCTGGCCTGGGGACTGTTGACGTTGGAAAGGTTCCACTGGGCGGCTGAAGTCTTGCAATAACATGACACACAGGCCTGCAGACGTATCCTATCTCCTCTCCTCCCGGAGGTGCTGGTCCTTGTTTTCAGGGCTTTGTCTTGTGTTCACCGTCGTCAGTGCTGCTCTGAGCATAGGGCAGGTTCAGCACAGAGAGACTTGCCTTCTTTTTGGTTCTTGCCCGCATTGCACCTGGCTCGGTGAAGGGGTTCTTCTTGCATCTGGCAGAGCGTGTACCTGTCCGGCTTCCACCCTAGAGCCTGAGAGAAGACACCTGTTCCATGAGGAGTGTTGGCCAGTTTCAAAGGAAATAGGACTTCTTGCCGAACATTTTGTCTCAGAGACTAACTTCCAAGATTCTTCTGCACATTCCTAGAGTTAAAAATAAAATTACCTCCAGTTTCTAGAAGAGGAAAGTAGAGAGGAAAGAGATTAAGTAAATGGCAAGAACACAGCTTTATCTAATCTGTTCAACCTCTGCACCACTTTTAAATGTATTATCGATGAGATTTTTACTACACCCAGGGGTTTCCAAAAGTCTATTTTATTCGCTTGTTTGTTTGTTTTGATAGTATTGTTTGTTTTAGTTACATCAAAATCCCAATTTTTCCCTTTTGTGGGAAAACACTGTTCCCTGGA